ACATACGCTACAACATAAATGAGCCTTAAGAACACTATGCTATGTGAAATAGGCCGGGCACAAAAAGAAAAATGCTATTTTATTCCACTTAGTTGTAAAGCAGTCGAATTCATAGAAACAGAAAGTAGAATGGTGGTTGACAGGGACTGAAAGAAGGAGAAAATGGGGAGCTATTTAATGGGTACAGAGTTTCAGCTTTGCAAGGTGAAAATGTTCTGGAAATCTACTGTACAACAATATGCAAATACTTCTAATACTATAACCTATACATTTAAAAAATGGTTAAGATGGTTAAAAAAACTTACAAATTGTACATCTTAAGTATGTGCAATTACATATGTATGACAATTACACCTCAATAAAGCTAATTTTTTAGAAAAACTATTCTTTTTCATTGTAAAAATAAAAAATAGAAAATACAAGAATATAGAGAGGAAAAATTAAAACACTTATTGTCACATTACTTGAAGAAACACCAGTTTTAAAATTTGCCTTTTAGCCTTCCTAGGTGTGTGTGTTTGTGAAAGTATGTTTGTGTTTATATAGAATAAGTAATTTTCAAACACAAAAAATCAAATATATATATTTTATTCATGCATTTTTCACTCAATATTTTATGAGTATTTTCCCAAATTACATATTTTAGAGAACAGTTTTATTAGTTGCATGGTGTTCTATCTAATGAGGGAAACATAATTAATTTAATCTTTCTCTTACTGTTAAACAGGTCCATTCAAATTTTCAAGTTCATTTTCAAGCATTTCTTTTTTTTTTTTTTTAAGATATATTTATTTATTTTAGAGAGGGAGCGTGTGCCGTGGGGAGGGACAGAAGGAGAGGGAGAGAAAGAGAGTCCCAAGTCAAGTCCCTGCTAACCATGGAGGCTGACGTGGGGTTCAATCTCATGATCCTGGGATCACAACCTGAGTTGAAACCAAGAATTGCTCGCTCAGCCAACTAAGTCACACAGGCATCCCTTTGCATACATTTCTGATTACTTTCTTATGTTAGATTTTTGAATCAAACTAGTAAGTCAAAAGGATATGAACATTTCTATGGTTCTTGATGTATGGTGCCAAACTGTCCCCCAGAAAGCTAAAACCAATCTATGCGGCATCTGGGTGGCTCAGTCGTTAAGCATCTGCTTATTTTATTCTGCTTGATAAAAGGCTTAAATTTCTATTCTTTTCCCTTTAACTTATTACTTTGCAAATACTTTTCCACATTTTTTTTTTTGCATTGTCATCACACTCAAAGTTTTTTGGTCCGCTCTCTTCCATCTTAGCATAATTAACTATTCCCTTTTATTGGGATATTTAGTTTGTCAAATTTCCTTGATTATAAATATTTCTGCTTACCTCACAGGGCTATTTTGAGAGTCATGATAAAATACATAAAAACTTTAAAAACTAAATGATAATGGTGGTGGCAGTAATAGATGGTACAAAGTAGGAACACTCTTAAATAACAGAACTGTTTGTTCTTTTAGTAAACACACACACACACACACACACACACACACACACACAATGTTGAAGTTGAAGCCCTGGTGACCTTCATTAAATATTTTCCATTTAGGGGCACCTGGGTGGCTCAGTCAGGTAAGCATCTGCCTCCAGCTCAGGTCATGGTCTCCAGGTCCCGGAATCGAGCCCCACCCACACAAGGCTCCTGGCTCTTCAGGGAGTCTGCTTATCCCTCTCTCCCTCTGCCCCCTTTCCTTTTCTTGTGCACTCTCTCTCTCAAATAAATAAATAAAATCTTTTAAAAAATTAATAAATAAATATTTTCCATTTATATGTATCTTAGTATCATTTCTAACCAAGGTGTCCTTATAATAACTATTTAATCAGGCTGCCAAAATATCTACCATATAGAAAGTAATATATCATCATCACTTTCTCTCCATAAAATTCACGCATTTGTTGAAGAACTGCCACTCTAGATCAGTTTGTACACTTTGCTCTCTGAAATGTATCAGTCACCTCTCCTTTTTCATAGAACTAGAAAAAGATTCATTCAAGCACTCACCTTGGCCAAATCAAAAGGTGTTTTGACCTCCCTGGTTGTGTCAGGTTCAGCAAATGCAGGAACTTCCTGTCTATTTCTTCCTTTCCGCCTGCTCCTCTTTAGCTGGTCTCCTGATTTCTGACCATCTGACATTTCTTTAAAGGAAAAAAAAACAAAACAAAACAAAACAAAACAAAAAAATATATATATATATAAAACACACACATACATGCACATAGGTTGATAACAGCAGGATTCATTGGTAAACTAGTAAATAATAAAGAAAAGATGACACTTAATATTTAAAGTGAAGATATGGAGGCGACTTGGTGGCTCAGTCTGTTAAGCGGCTGCCTTCAGCTCAAGTCATGATTCCAGGGCCCTGGGATTGAGCCCCGCATTGGGCTCCATGCTTGACAGTCTGCTTGTCCCTCTCTCTCTGCCTGCTGCTCTGCCTACCTGTGCTCTCTATCTCTCTGTCAAACAAATACATAAAATCTTTACAAAAAAAATAAAGTGAAGATATGAATCAGGTAGCTTCTTACGTTAGTTTTTCCTCACAAATTTAAAACACAATTTCCAAGAGAGTAGATGATAAAGACTACTGGCTAGGATTAAAATGGTAAATTAAAATCTAATATTTCAGATTGTATAATAATAATGACTTATTTAGTTTGGTGTTTATCTTTTGTATCTTTTAACTAAATAGTTACTTTTAAATCCTATTCATACTATAATTGGTCAACATTTACTTTCATCCAGATATACACATAATTGGAAAGTGGTTTTTTTTATATAAATTTTTATTTATTTATTTGACAGACAGAGATCACAACTAGGCAGAGAGGCAGGCAGAGAGAGAGAGGAGGAAGCAGGCTTCCCACGGAGCAGAGAGCCCGATGTGGGGCTCGATCCCAGGACTCTGAGATCATGACCTGAGCTGAAGGCAGAGGCTTTAACCCACTGAGCCACCCAGGCACCCCTGGAAAGTGTTTTTCTAATCCATGGATAAATCTTTCAAACTATTCTGAAACCACATTTTTATCTGCAAACAGGCATTTCTGTGGTATTTTCAAAGTTCAAAAAGTCTGAACTAAAACAATATTCATTACTTGAGTAGAACTGAATTAAAAATACAGAAAATATCAGGTCCTATAAACCAGCCCATTTACCAATATTTCAACCCTCAATTATATTAACTTACCATCTTTTTTTTTTTTAAAGATTTTATTTATTTATTTGACAGGCAGAGATCACATGTAGGCAGAGAGGCAGGCAGAGAAAGAGGGGGAAGCAAGCTCCCTGCTGAGAAGAGAGCCTGATGCGGGGCTCGATCCCAGGACCCTGAGATCATGACTTGAGCCGAAGGCAGAGGCTTAACCCACTGAGCCACCCAGGCGCCCCAACTTACCATCTTTTTTGAAGGACTGCTGCAAAGCATCAGAACTCAATTCCTGATCATTCTTTTGCCATTTGGTTATAAGCTCCTCTATGAATTGACCTTTTTTGTCCTCATTTCCCTGAAGGAGGTCAGTAACATATTCTCGTATCTCTTCAGCACTCTCAATTGACAAAACATACCTCAGGAAGAAAAATATAAGTTGTTGAAACAAGACCTGCTTATGCTGTATCTCCCAATAATCACAACAGAAATCAAGGTAGTTACAAACCATTCATTAATCCATTAGAGTGGATTGTGCCAAATTCTATGCTAAATGCTAGGGATTTAAGTTTGATCAGGACAAAAACCCTGACCTCAAGTAGCTCATAATCTAAACTTCATATAATCTTGTTAGAAGATTAGAATTAATGTTTTGAAGATAGGCTGTGGAGCTGTCTTTAATATATGAATACTTTCTCTAAGTACACATCTGCAGTCATTTCATATTCCTTGGAATCCAAAAGACTTAATCTTTACACTACAAAACCTAAAATTTCTTTTTTGCTAAAAATTAGTATATATGACAATCTAACCAGTTATTGAATTAATATTCTCAAAAACTGGGGCGGTTGAGTGGCTCAATCAGTAAGTGTCAGCCTTTGGCTCAGGTCATGATCCCAAGGTCCTGGGATTAACCTCCGCATCAGGCTCCCTGCTCAGCGGGAAGCCTGCTTCTCTCTCTCCCACTCACCCTGCTTATATTCTCTTTCTGTCTTTCTCTCTCTCTGTCAAATAAATAAAATCTTTAAAAAAAATTCTCAAAAATTATAAATCAGGGCAGCTGTCTGGCTCAGTTGGTAGAGCATGTGACTCTTGATTCTGGGGTTGAGTTCGAGCTCCATGTTGGGCATAGAGATTACTTCAAAGAAAATAAAATCTTTAAAAAAAAATTATAAAAAGATTAGCATCACATTAGAATAAGCAGATCTATGTTAAGGAAATGTTATAAAGGGTTCCTTGAAGTGAAATGGGCTAACAGTTCAAGTCAGTATAAGTTTCCTAAAAATTGACAAGCCAATATATTTAAAATGCCTTAAAAATAATCAGGTAATTCCATTTATAGGACTCTACAGGAAATTTTATGCAATAAATTAACTGTATCACTATCTGAATTAATGAAAAACTAGAAGCTATTTAAAATATCCACTGATGGGAAAGACTAGTGAATTTAAGTTTTTGGACTTTACAAAATGGGATATGCCACCACTAAAAGTGAAATTTATGATTAACTACTATTGACCTGATAAAAATGCTTTCATATAATGGTAAGTGAAATAACAGGATAGAACGTAGAGCATATCATAGCAATATCAATTGCTAAAAGAAATGTGTATATCCATACACTTATGTGTAGAAAAAAGGCCAGAAGGTTATACACTAAAATAATTACCACTGAGTAAGATGATTAAAGAGAGTTTATTTTTTCCTCTAAGACGAATATGTTTTGCAAATAGATTACAATACACATAAGAAAAACATTAAGAGAGAAACAATGATTACCTCTGGGTTGTGGTATTACGGTAATTTTAGTTTCCTCCTCTATCTCTGATTTTTTTTAGGTTTTTACAGTAATTATGTTACACCAAGGAAAGAAAGAATTGAAAAAATAATTTGTAAATTAACATATCAGACCATGAAAGCACTATAAGATCTGAATGAACAGTAATTCAGACACACTTGTATTGGATACAAGAAAAAATTATAATAATGCTACATTCCTTTAAATTAAAATAAAATCACGTGATTGTACCATCACTAGTACACAAGTACTCGGTTTTTTTTCCTAATGTGATGGTACATTTGCGGAGTTATGATCGATAGGTAAATAAACCTGTGCCTTTGGGCCCCATTAAGAGCATCTTCTAGTCCATCGTATATTAAAAAGACACAATTGTTTTTCAGGACTTTTACAGTTTAACTTGACCCCCAAACTTAGCAGCCCCCATCAAAATATTAATTGCTACCAAGTTCTCATAGAAGGAACTGCAAGGAACCTCAGGGATCATTTAACTGTACAGTATTCAAATCACTAGGAAAGTATTTATTTATTTATTTATTTATTTTTTTAAAAGATTTTATTTTATTATTTATTTGGCATACAGAGAGAGAAATCACAAGTAGGCAGAGAGGCAGGCAGAAAGAGAGGGGGAAGCAGGCTCTCTGCTAAGCAGAGAGCCCGATGCGGGACTCGATCCCAGGACGCCGAGATCATGACCTGAGCCGAAGGCAGAGGCTTAACCCACTGAGCCACTCAGGTGCCCACTAGGAAAGTATTTAAAGAGTTCCAGAAACATTTGAATAAATGATATTTCAATTATTTAACAAAGTATAAAATTGACAAAGTATAAAAAGGAACAGCATACAGTGTTATATACAAAATCTTATCAAAATAGGGTCATCCAAAACATGAGCTAAGGCAGATTGTAGAGCAAAGTTTATTTTGCTAATCCTGTGTACAAATCTTAATGTTCCATAAATGTATCACTGATTAGGAAGATAGTTCTGTGTTGTTTGTAAAAAGGCCACTCATGCCAAATTTTTCAAGTTAGCACACTACCATAGTACTAATTTTCAATTAAATACTACGCAAAGCACAGCAAATTTACACAAAAATGCTTTGATCATGGCATCATAGCCTGTTGAGCAATAACTAGTAAAAACCTAATAAGTCAAATGAGTTCAAATAGAATTATGCTATAGGTAGTTTCAGTGCTTTTTTTCTTTTGTTTTGAACAATTCTTATAGAACTTATTTATGAGTTTTAAAAAAAGCAAGCAGGGGGGCACCTGGGTGGCTCAGTGGGTTAAAGCCTCTGCCTTCGGCTCAGGTCATGATCCCAGGGTCATGGGATCGAGCCCCAAGTCGGGCTCTCTGCTTGGCGTGGAGCCTGCTTCCTCCTCTCTCTCTGCCTGCCTCTCTCTGCCTACTTGTGATCTCTGTCTGTCAAATAAATAAATAAAATCTTAAAAAAAAAAAAAAAGCAAGCAGGTATTTAGCCATACTTAGTGCTTCCAACTATAAAATTTAAATTTCTGATCATTGTTCTTTAAAGGGTATAGATTAAGTTTAATTGAAAAAAAAAAACTAAAGCTTCAAAATGAGCTGTTAAACCACAATCTATGAAAATTAGAATTTTCTTCATACTGTGTAAGCAGACAAGATACAAATGGACACTGAGACTGAGAAGACTGCATCTAACCATATTGCCTTTTTGATCCATCAAAAATAGCCTCAATCTTTGTGTTTTGTTTTGTGTTCACCAAGTGACTTTTTTTTCCATTTGGTGTATTTGCAAAGTCTCATTATCTCATCTGACAGCATCCACTGCTTTAAAAAAATGTTTGAAAACTACTTAATCTGATCTCGCCTTCAAACAAGGATAAAGATAAACCATACCATTTGGCAGGGTTGGTTTTTTTTCCCCCTCTAGTTGTTCGTTCCACTGTTTAAAACAAAAACCTTTAAAGCAGCCTTTCTTAATTCTCCCCCTGCCAACTGTCTTCTCCCAACTCAGAAACTCATTTCCTATAAAAGCCCCAGAAATGGCAATAAAGGTTTCATTATCTATGAACAAGGAATCAAATCAAGAAACATTTTCAGGTTCTTGGATGGAGTCCAATTTTTGTAGAAGTCTTTACCTCGCGGAACACTGCACTTCCACCTACCCACCCTTTAGCTCTCAGGCTAAAGTCATCCCTTGAAGTAAAACCTTTCAAGTTTCTAAAATCTTAGCGGGAGTCCTTTACTCTGTGCTCCCACAACACCTTATGTTTCCCCCACTCATCAACCAGACAGAACCCAAAGGTCTCCGTCGTCTTTGTTGCCCCAGCACCAGTTATGTAGTGCAACAAAAATGACAAATCAATCCAAAGCAAATACTAAATTATGTCACCATCTCCACTTCACAACAATTATAAAATATGAAATATAAGCTCTGCTAATTATTCATTTTATAGACGCGGAAACAAAGGTATAGAGAGGGAAATTAAAATGCCCAAGGTTCCAAAACGGGTAAATGACAACAGAAAACAGAACTTGGGACTCCTCAGTCAAAAGTTATTTAAAACACCTGAACCACTGCAGCCTCAATTTAAAGTCCAGGTCCTATTTGACACAACCCATATCGGGCAAACTAAAATGCTCAGAGCAAGGATTTCTGGAAAAACAATTTGGCTTGCCCATTATCTCCAGAATTTATAAGGAAACTGGCTCCGGGGACAGTCTTAAAGACTTAATTATCAGGGATCTGGCTTTTTCCTAAGAAAAAAAGGCCCCACCGGCCAACTGGGTAGCCTGATACAGTATTCCAGAAGCTAAACTGTAAAGCCGGAGGTGAAAATTCGACGCCTAGAGACCAATAATAGCCCTTTTATCCTATTTCTTCACTCTCATCAACTTTTTAGTCCTCCCCGTTTCCCCCTTTCGCTCAGTGCACATCCCAGAGCTGCTTCCCGCCTGGGACCCGAACCGGTCTCACTGCATGATCTCCTCGCTGACATCCAGGTCGAAAGTTTTCCGCAATTGCTGGGTGCACCAGCCCACTAGCTGCTCCCGGGACGCCGCCCCAGTTACCGCCATTTTTCCCAGCCGGAACCAGCTGGGCTCCAACAGCCACACGTCCCGCGCCGGACTAGTCCCCTTCGCAACACCGACTTCGGTCGCGCGAGTTCCGCCAGCCTGCACGGCCCCTCCCAGTGGCTCCGCCCCCAGCACAGATCCCTCCCACCCCTGCTGCCTTTTCTTTCCGGCTTCCTGACGTTGTTTACACTGGTACCAGAGCTCCTCTGCGCGTGATTTTTCTGCATCCTTAGATGCAGGGCTTGAGAATCGAGAATTCGCTGAGAAGATAGTATAAATACCTATAACAACTACAGTCGAGGAGAAGATAAAACTGTTAATCTGAGAGGCCAGCCTCTAAATTATTCTGGTTTTATGTAAAAGCATTTAAAGTAGCACTTGCTATTTTACAGGTTCTTCATCCCCATTAAGCTGTGTAGACTTAGCAATTACATTAATTGGATCCTGATTCACCTTTTTATGCTAATGTTTTTATCGACAAATATAAAAATCATACGAATGTGTTGATTTACACTAGGTGTAGATTGTTTTTGTTATTAATTTGGGAAATATATTATTTTCTATCTTAAAAAACCCTCAAATACTCCGAATGTTCATTAATAGTACAAATTTTGTTTCTTAATAAAAATCTGCTACTTTTCATGTTAATATAATGTTATATTATTTACGTAAATTATTTACCTGTTTGTTCAGTTCCAACTATTTAAATGTTAATTTCTGGGGATGCCTGGGTGGCTCTATCAGTTAAGGGACTGCCTTCATCTGCGGTGGTGATCCCAAAGTCTGGAATCAAGTCCCAAACCAGGGCTCCTTGCTCAGCGGGGAGCCTGCTTCTCCCTCTGCCTGCTGCTCTCCCTGCTTGTGCTCGAGCGCTCTCTCTCTCTCTGACGAATAAGTAGATAAAATCTTTTTTAAAAAATTTTTAAAAAAGGAGCGCCTGGGTGGCTCAGTGGGCTAAGCCTCCGCCTTCAGCTCAGGTCGTGATCCCAGGGTCCTGGGGTCGAGCCCCATGGGGCTCTCTGCTCAGCAGGGAGCCTGCTTCTCCCGCCCCCTCTGCCTACTTGTGATCTCTCTGTCAAATAAACAAATAAAATATTTTTTAAAATAAAAAATAAGGGGCACCTGGGTTGCTCAGCCGTCAAGCATCTGCCTTCTGCTCAGGTCATGATCCCAGAGTCTTGGGATCAAGCCCCTCATGGGGTTCTCTGCTCAGTGGGGAGCTTGCTTCCCTCTCTCTGCCTGCCTCTCTGTCTACTTGTGATCTCTGTCTGTCAAATAAAGAAAATCTTTTTTTTTAAAGAATATTCTTTAAAAAATATTCTTTTTACATAAAGCATATGTTAATGATTACAATCTCTAGTTTGTAATGTATGTAATGTAATACAATGCCGTTTACAGATTATCATTTATTAAAATGCACTTCCGCCTGAGCAAAGCAAACACACCTATTTAACATGACTCAAAGATACTCTTTGGTATACATTTAGGCAGATACTTCATACATACGTACTACAACTTTTCATAATGTCCTAGGCCTTCGAAATTTTCAAGTTTACACCACACAATTCCCTGTTTTATTTAAAGAAGAGCTTCCTTAAAACATATATTTAAATTAAGAATTTGTGCTAGACATCACTGCTTGTTTCCTATTTTTTTAACCTTAACATTCATTCTTCCCTATTATTAAAAAACAAACCTACAAACATAGCTGTAGTAATAGACTGCTCTTGTGTGCAAAGGTATATTTGCAATTCTTCCTAGCCATTTACTTAGCATGTGAACTAAGAGAAAAAAACCATCAGATTCTCTATGCTGTTCTAATCTCCACAGGAATCTGCGATTTGAGTTTGAATTAAGTAATACAGGCCTTTGTTGAAGTCACTTTAACTGAAAAGGAAATAATGTGTATTGAAGAAGGATTGTGTATTGAGAAGTGAATGATAACAAAGAAGGAAGGACTACCCTGGGGCTTGTTGATTTTTCTGATAGGAATTCTACTGCAGACTCCAATTGTTAGACAAAGCTACAGGTAATTTTCAATACATTTCCTGCTATTATAATATCACTAATAGAATCATAATACAATTAATTTTAAAAATATAATATTTTTTCACCTGTTGACTAGATTCATTAATTTTTTTTCAAGATCTTTAAAACAAAAAGTAGTTGTTGATTCTGTTGACATATCGAGTAGCCTATTTTGTGAATGTTCAAGCCTAATTTATTGGAGAGAATCAACGCAGTGCTTACACTTTCAGGATTGTCTTTCAAGTGAGCATTTAACAAAACATATCCCAAGGCAAGCTCATCTGATTACATTTTATGCGTGGTTTTCAGAGTGAAAAATCACTCCCCAGGGGTATTTTGAGTAATTAGAGGACAGGCATAGGGATAGAAAATAGTTGTGAGCTACTATTCTAGCGTTATAATCACTATGTGTCAGGGATGTACCTTTGGCACATTTGGCTTTTTTTTTTTAAGATTTTATTTTTAAGTAATCTCTACACAGAAGGTGGGGCTCAAATCCACAACCCTAAGATCGAGTTGCATGCTCCACTGACTGAGCCAGTCAGGCACCCTGACATCTGGCATATTTTTAAGGAGCTCTGAGACCATATAGATGTCAGGAAGACCTTTCATTAATTCGTTCCTTTTTACGTGTGTATGTACATACAATCCTCTCAGTTTTTACCTTGCTTTTCTAACACTCCATAGAATTGGTTTGTTATGGACCTTGTAGAGACAGTTTGCGGCTTTAAAAAAAGAAGTTATTTATTCTGATTTGCATTAAAAAAAAAAAAACCTGCTTCATTCCAAGTTTCTTTTCCTGGAAGTCGATCGTTAGATTTATCCCTGTGGTAACTTTTGGAGAAATGTTATAATTCTCTGTCTTTCCTGGGTTTTCTTTTCTAAGCAGGCCCATTTCCCTAACTCACAATCTTGGCACTCACTCTCGGGGCACCCCAGGAAAAGCTTTAACACCGCCCTCCTGGGGCGGCTACAAATCACAGGCTTCTGCAAAGTTGATGGACGGGACGGTACTGAGTCAAGGCTCGCCACTGTCATAGCTGGACACTGGCGATTGGTTGTGGGGGGACGGCGCGGAACCAATGGGAGCGGCTCCCCGGCAGAGTCCGTGGAGCGCGCGGGAAAGAGACCAATATAAACTGTGGCGGGAGATTCGTTTTTCGGGTCCTTGTGCAGTTAAACACCCGCGGTTGGGCAGTCAGTTGATTGCTCTCACCTCCTCGAGTTTGACCATGGTGCGGACCAAAGCGGACAGTGTCCCAGGCACCTACAGAAAAGGTGAGGTAGTTGAGCACGGCAGTGGAGGGCAGGGGGCCAGGACTCCCCACCGCCCTCTGAGCCAGGCTAGTCCAGCCATTCTGGAAGCTGCGGCCTGGCCCCTTTACCAGGAGGAAGGAGCGGCGCGGACAGGGGAGGGTTGTCCTGCTGTTCTGGATCTCGGGGCTCTTCTGTCCAAGCGGCGGGGTCGGAGACTGTGGTGAAAACGCGGCTCTGTGACTCGTGTCGGAAACTGAACTGCCCTGTTTTATAATGCTCTCCTTTGCCTCTCCGCAGTGGTCGCTTCGCGAGCCCCCAGGAAAGTGCTTGGTTCCTCCACTTCTGCAACTAATTCCACATCGCCTTCGTCAAGGAAAGGTAAAAAGCGCCCCTGCAACTCCTGGAGGAACTTTCTCTAAGGGGATCAGGCCTTGCACCACAGTTCTCCGGACCTGCAAGCCTCCTGACCCACCGTGGAATTTATTTTCCTGAGATCCTCACACTCAAATTTCTTCCTTGCCTTCTGATATAATGAGGGGACCTAGGCCTCTCGTTCGGTTGGGGTAAAGGTGGGGGTCGCAAGGAAAAGAATCTCCAACCTCGGGGTTAGGGACAGACACGATTTATCTTCAAGCCTATTTTTCCTTTCTAGTTTAGCATTTTTACTTTTAATATTGGCTGATGGCTTTTTCCTGCAAGAGGCTATTTAAGCTCCCCTTCACTAGATTAAGAATTAGGACTATAGTTGACAGTGCTGATCGGGTTGTCTTAGTATAAAGTTTTTGTTTTTATTTCTGCATGTATTTTTGGTTTTGTTGCTGTTGTTGTTTATTTTTTGGCATGGTGTCTGTGTGTGTGTGTTATCCCAACTACTGCAGCTCCTGATATTGCTTTTGGGACATTAGGAGGGAAAACTTGGCCCATGAAAGAGCTTCACACTCTTCCTTCCGTGCAAGGAGAGGTTGAGGAAATACCGTGCCATCTGGTGCCTCATTTTTCTCCTAGGAAGTTAGGAAGATTAATTCCACAAGGCCTAATTAAGAACATACAGGGGAGCACTGTGAAGAACTTGGGTTCTTAAGTTACCTTAAGCTTCCCCCTGTTCTAAATATTTCATTAGAAAATATTAACTAATTCTCTTTAGATAAAAAGGAGCTGTAGGTCAAAATTTTGAAAGGTGATGAATTTATTGAGAATATTCTATACTCTATACCACTAAATTATGATCAGGGCCACATCTCATTGTCTGGTGCACTGTTGAATCACCAAAGCCAACTGAATAAGCCCTTAATGAACATATGTTGGCCAAATGCACCTCTTAAGGCACTTTGAGATCTCTATTTTTTTGTAAGTAAGCTCTATGCCCAAGAGGGGCTTGAACCAAGGACCCTAAGATCAAGAGTCTCATTTTCTACACCATGAGTCAGCCAGGTGCCCTTGCAAATCTCTTTTGGGATTTTTTTGTTGTCTTTTTGTTTTGTTTTGTTTTTAAGATTTTATTTTTAAGTAATCTCTGCACCCATCATGGGGCTCAAAATCACAACCCTGAGATCAAAAGCATGCTTCATCAACTGAGCTAGGCAGGTGCCCACAGATCTCTATTTTAATCAACTGTATGAAATTAGTAGTAAGTTCATTCTAAATAATGAGGACATTTAAGCTCAGATTACATACTTTGGTAAAAGTCACACAATTAAATCAGCAGAGCCGTGTTTGAATTTTTTTTTTTTAAGATTTTTATTTATTTATTTGAGCAAGAGACAGAGCACCATCAGGAGGAGGGGCAAAGGGAGAGGGAGAGCAGACTCCCTGCCAAGCAAGGACCCTGAGATCATGACCTGAGCCAAAGTTAGACCCTTAACCAACTGAGCAACCCAGGCACTCTTGAGCTGGGTTTGAATTCTATGCTGAGCTATACAGGTTGCTGCCATTTATTTTCCAAGTAGTCAAAGAGTTCCTATATGTGTCCTTTTGGAAAATTATGAACCAAAGTATCACTATTATTTATTTATTTTTTGAATATTTATTTATTTTAGAGAGATTGAGGTGGGAGGGGCAGAGGCAGAGAGAAATTTCAAAGTGGATTCCACTGCTGAGTGCAACCAGACCTGGCTCAAATCTCAGAAATCTGAGACCACAACCTGAGCCAAAACTAAGAATCAGATCTTCAACCGACTGCTCCACCCAGGGGCCGCAGGTCACTATTTTTAAAAAGTCACTTGTACTTTTAAAAAAGATTTAAAAACTTAAGAAGTGGGCGCCTGGGTATTTCTGTTGGTTACGCCTCTGCCTTTGGCTCAGGTCATGATCCCAGGGTTCTGGGATGGAGCCCCGCATCAGGCTCCCTGCTCAGTGGAGGAGTCTGCTTCTCCCTCTGCCCCTCTCCCTACTCGGGCTTGTTGTCTCTCTCTCTCAGAAATAAAATCTTGAAAAAATAAATCAAAAATAAAAACTTTGGGGGCACCTGGGTGGCTCAGTTATTAAGCAGCTGCCTTCGGCTCAGGTCATGATCCCAGGGTCCTGGTCGAGCCCCACATCAGGCTTCCTGCTCGGTGGGGAGCCTATTTCTCCCTCTCCCACTCCCCTACTGTATTCCCTCTCTTGCTGTCTCTGTCAAATAAATAAAAAAAAAAAATCTTAAAAAAAATAAAAATAAAAACTTCGGAGAGTGTGTGTATATATATATATATATATATGGAAGCAACTTTATAACAGTTTGTGACATGTGTTTAAAGGGAAAGATATATGTAGTGGCTCAGTAATTTACTCATCTTTGTATACTAATCATTACTTCATAAGGAGGCAGAAATTTTTCCTCTATATTACTGTTTTAAAATGAAAAAAAAAATCAGAAATTGGGGCACCTCGTTGGCTTAGTTGGTAAAACATGCAACTCTTGATCTCAGGGCCATAAGTTTAAGCCCCACGTTGGGTGTAGAACTTACTTTAAAAAAAAAAATCAGGCGCCTGGGTGGCTCAGTGGGTTAAATCCTCTGCCTTCGGCTCAGGTCATGATCTCGGGGTCCTGGGATCGAGCCCCACATCGAGCTCTCTGCTCAGCGGGGAGCCTGCTTCCTCCTCTCTCTCTGCCTGCCTCTCTGCCAACTTGTGATCTCTGTCAAATAAATAAATAAAATATTAAAAAAAAAATCAAGGGGTGCCTGGGTGGCTCAGTGGGTTAAAGCCTCTGCTTTTGGCTCAGGTCATGATCCTGGGGTCCTGGGATCAAGCACCGCATCGGGCTCTCTGCTCAGTGGAGGAGTCTGCTTCCCTTCCCCTCTCTCTCTGCCTGCCTCTCTGCCTACTTGTGATCTCTGTCTGCCAAATAAATAAATAATCTTTAAAAAAAAATCAAGAATTGGATTTACCTTATGAACTGTATGAACTGAAAAGGAGCCAAGGGCTTTGAAAAGTGTAACCTATTTTTGTGGAAACTTTCACATTGCTGTATATTTGTTTTGTCTTTCACAGGTGTTTTAATTAATAACCTTGTTAAGTAAAATTTTGGCCGTTTATACTACATCTCATATTAGGAAAAAAATGTCAAAGTTTAGTATGACAATACATAAGACTATTTGAATAGCTCTGCTTGTGGATAAATTATGAAAAATATTTTCCAGTTGTAAAAATTCTGTTAATTTTATTTTCCTAAGACAAAGGATAATTTTAACAAAATATTATTATATATTGTATTAATAATATTAATTATATTAATAATAATGTATAATATATGTTATATATTATAATACATATTATAATATATAATATTATTAATAATGTATAATATAATACTGACTGAATACACCTTTATCATCTCACATTTTCTAATTATTTTAAGATGGATGTAATACCACTTAATACCCTGTAGATTTAATGTTAAAGAATTGCTTCTCTTTAAGGAATGACAGTTTTATCCTTAGTTCTTATTTAGTTCCACCTGTTTATATTTTATAGTTGAAAATAAGTATGCAGGAGGGAATCCAGTTTGTGTGCGCCCAACTCCCAAGTGGCAAAAAGGAATCGGAGAATTCTTCAGCCTGTCTCCTAAAGATTCTGAAAAAGAGAATCGGATTCCTGAAGAGGCAGGAAGCAGTGGCTTAGGAAAAGCAAAAAGAAAGTAAGTTTTTATATTCTGGAGTATAAAGAAAATATTTATATTCTCGAAAATAAAACACAAGGGGATATTGAGTAACTTTAAAGTTTCTCCTTGAACAGATAAGAAAACACAAACCAGGGTTTTTTTTTAAACTTGTACTACTCTTGGGGCGGCTGGGTGGCTCAGTGGGTTAAGCCTCTGCCTGCGGCTCAGGTCATGATCTCAGGGTCCTGGGATCGAGTCCCACATCGGGCTTTCTGCTCAGTGGGGAGCCTGCTTCCTCCTCTCTTTCTGCCTTCCTCTCTGCCTACTCGTGATCTCTCTCGTCAAATAAATAAAATCTTTAAAAAAAAAAAAACAACTTGTACTACTCTTTTTCTAAGTTACTCGCAAATTTCAAACATCAGTGAAAAGTATTATTTTTACTCATTTCAGTCATTCAAAGAGGATCAGTTCCCAATCAGATGCTACATACTAAGGGCTATGTTATTAACCATGAACTTCCTGTCTTTATTCTCTCATTTTTACTGTCTATTTTCTATCCCTTTTTATTCTTTCAAAAAGCAATTTCTATGTTGGTTTATCCAGCATCAATTCTACTAAATCAGGGGCGCCTGGGTGGCTCAGTGGGTTAAGCCTCTGCTTTCGGCTCGGGTCATGATCTTAGGGTCCTGGGATTGAGCTCGGCGTGGAGCTCTCTGCTCAGCAGGGAACTGCTTCCCCCTCTCTCTCTGCCTGCCTCTCTGCCTACTTGTGATCTCTCTCTCTGTCAAATAAATAAAATCTTTAAAAAAAAAATTCTACTAAATCAACTCCTCAAAAAATACTAGTTCAACCTCCATAAGAAATAAATAACCAATGTAGAAAAGTTAGAAAATGGGTGGCTCAGTGAGTTAAGCCTCAGCCTTCCGATCAGGTCATGATCCCAAGGTCCTGAGAATAAGTCCTGTGTCAGGCTCCCTCCTCAGTGGGGAGCCTGCTTCTCCTTCTCCCTATGCTGTTCCTCCTGCGTGTGCTCTCTTACTCGCTCTGTCAAATAAATAAATAAAATCTTTTTTTTTTTAAGATTTTATTTATTTATTTGACAGAGATAGTGAGAAAGGGAACACAAACAGGGGGAGTGGGAGAAGGAGAAGCAGGCTTCCCAGCTGAGCAGGGATCCCAACAAAGGGCTCCATCCCGGGACCCGGGATCATGACCTGGGCCAAAGGCAGCCGCTTAACGACTGAGACACCAAGGCACCCCAATAAATAAAATCTTTAAAAAGAAAAAAAGAAGATAATTAAATCTTGCTTTTTAAGCTTTTAATGTCAGAAATATGCTGACGATAAATATTAAGCAAAAATTCTGCATATAGAACTATAGTTTTTATAGTGTAAAAACATGTATAGAAACAGACCAAATATCAATAGTGATTATCTCTGGGTAAAAACCTCTCTTCATATTCATTTTGTGCTTCCAATTTTCAACAACAAACATACTTCTAAGAATCAGGAAAAAAATAATGCCACTTGGGAAAAAAAGGGAAAGAAAATAGACGTATAAGTAATAGGATCCAGGCTCTCTATAAACAATTTTGAAGAATTGTGTTTCAAAAACAAATTATATGACTGGAGGTATGGGGGAATGGTGAGCATGGGTGGACAGGTGGTGCCATGTCACTGTCATTTTGACGCCCCCTGGTTGAAGACCCTGCTAGCTACTTCTCCTGCATGAGCCAGGAGCCTATGATCCAACAGCACACCAAACAGCAAGTCTGACCCACGCCACAGTGACCAACATAGGCAAGGGGATGGTGGCCAGGCTCAGTCTGTGACTGCTACTTCTGGCACTGCTCCCATCCACACAGATTTATTCACACATTCCTTTAACCAGCACTGTGGGTTCAAACACAGGAGCCAGTGTGTTTGAACCTCTGTTTGAACCCACAGTGTCCACTGTGCCCTGTAGTCAGTAGCCATTCTCCTTGGGGTCTTACTTGCCCTTCTGTATCTCTACTGTTAAACAGATCCAGGCCAAAATAACATCTGTTCACTAACGCATATTCTAAAGCTCAATCCATATGGTAACTAGAAGTCCAATGTGACAAGGAAAACACAGTCTTCATCAGATCTAATAATTCCACTCTTTATTTTACTAACACAGAAACTGTGAGAATCCCCAGCTGGACTGACTTAGAGAGCATCTGAAGAATTTGACTAGGTAATGAATGCCAATATTAAATCTGCTGGAGTTTCACATATAAGACTGAAGAAAGACATTGAAAATTAATGATATGATTAAATGTAGCTTAAGAAATATGGTTACTTAAAACTCTACCTTGATAATAAGAATAATTTCACCTTGATCTAGAGAAAAGGGATAAGCTGTGGAATGGAAATTGGGTTTTTACTTTGATTCATTAAATTTAGAAGGCCATAAAATGATTAGGTAATACAAAAAGGTTCCAGGATTCTATTTATATATACATTGGAAGGAGCCATCAGGTGTTATTGTAAATCCTCTGTTTATTATTTCAGCAGTACTATTTTAATGCTGATATACTCCACATAAAATTTTACATTGTTAAGTTTTCATTGTTCTCTTGGGAACTCTCCTCTGGAGCTTTGGGGTTGACATTGCATGTGACTTTATGTAGTAACTGACATGTTCCAGGGTGGTGATGTTTTATTGGCATCTACTACAAATTTAAGCATGAGTAATTTTTGAAGATTTTATTTATTTATTTGACATACAGAGATCACAAGTAGGCAGAGAGGCTGGCAGAGAGAGGGGAGAGTGAGAAGCAGGCTCCCTGCTGAGCAGAGAGCCCAATGCAGGGGCTTGATCCCAGGACTCTGGGATCATGACCTGAGCCAAAGGCAGAGAATTTAACACACTGAGCCACCCAGGCGCCTCAGCATGAGTAATTTTTGCATATACACTTAAAAGTCAAATGACAGGTATTTCCTATCACACATTCCCATCCAGTAAGAATGGCAGATTCACTTAGTTAACTTGGACACTTAACTTCATTCCGAAGATAAGAAGTGCTTTGACTTCAACTGTCTTAAAATACTGCATTTATTTCTGCATTTGTTAAATAATTTTTACAACTTAAAAATTGCTGGTTTTTTTTTCAAAGATTTTATTTATTTATTCAACAGAGATCACAAGTAGGCAGAGAGGCAGGTAGAGAGAGAGAGAGAGAGAGGAGGAAGCAGGCTCCCCGCTACGCAGAGAGCCCGATGTGGGGCTCGATCCCAGGACTCTAGGATCATGACCTGAGCCGAAGGCAGAGGCTTTAACCCACTGAGCCACCCAGGCGCCCCAAAATTGCTCTGTTTTGAAGGCGTATTTGACAAATACTGAAATTAAGATGCAAAGGAAGGAGGCAAAAATAATGTATATTAGGTATTTGGGAAGTGAAGATAGGAGAGTTGCCTATATATATATATATATTTATAATTTTATATAGACATTTGTATATATATATAAAAGATTTTATTTATTTGAGAGAGAGAGCATGAATGTGGGGAGGAGCAGAGGGAGAGGGACAGGCCAACTCTGTGTTAAGCGCAGAGCCCGACGTGGGGTTTGATCCCAAGACCCTGAGATCATGACGTGAGCTGAAATCAAAAGTTGGATGCTTACCTGACTGAGCACCCAGGTGCCTGGAGACTTGCCTATATTAAATTCACAACTCTTTTGTGCTGTCTCTGTGAATACATTAAAAAAAATAACTTTATGAGTCAGAATAGCTACATTTGGAACACTTTCTGTATCAGTATTTTTAGATAGTTAGAACCTCGTCCTAAATCTAGGTGTACTTGATTCTGGAAAGTAAAACTTTTACAACTGCCTTGATGTACAGAAAACTTTCTAGAAATAGACACTTTATGAAATTTTTGGTTCACATGTTCACACACTGATGCTTATGTGTTACAGTATCCATATGGCCACAGTAGGCTTAATAATTCTTAAACCACTATTTGCCATCTTTAGAAACCTATAGGGGAGCAACCAGATCCAACAGATCTCAAGCTATGAGGGATCTCTGGGTGTGAATGAACATTCCCTTTGTTTCATATCTGAACACTGTACATCTGTTTGGGATTGTACAGTGTGTTTGGAATTGATTCCCATTGAACACAAACTAAATAAAAATAAATGGCTGAAAGAGCAATTAAAACAAAGTATTTGGATATAGAAAAGGATTCTTATGTATATAAAATTTTAAGAATTCAATACTGTTCCTAAGATCATTTAATAAATGTTTATTGAGTGCCTACCATCCATGTTTCAAGATATTTAAGGTTTTTGTTTGTTTATTTTTAGAAATCTTTCCACCCAATGTGGGGTTTGAACTCACAACCCCAAGATGAAGAGTCACATGCTCTTCTGATGAGCCAGCTAGGCATCCCTGTTATGAGATATCTAAAAGAAATGTCAAACTCTAGAGCAGTAACTAAATTTTAGACTTTGTTGCTATGTCACTATTACGATTTCTGCTTCCAATAAAAATCAACAATGAATGGGATACATTTTTAGATAAAGCCTTTTAATAGACTTGCTTTCATGATCCTGTAAGTTTCTTCTAGTTCCAGGTCACTGTCTGGCATCATTCTTCCTTGTTCTTTCTCATTCTAATATGACAGGCTAATAGTCAATATTAGCTCTAGAATATACTACAGCCCTCTTGAATTATTTGTGATTCCCACTAAGGAAACAAAATATTTGGCAATATCGCCAAATACGGCTATACCATTGACCATTATCGATCATCGTAACAATAAAATATATATTACAAGCTTTCAATTATATGGAGAAAGATTACATGTATTTTCATAAAGGACTTTGATCCATGGTGTACTAAAATTTGTGACATAAAACTAGGTAATAATGGTTTATATTATTCCTTTAGACCCCTTTCTTAGATTTGTCCTTGTTTAGGAGAGTTGTAATTACCTCTTTATTGATAGTAAATCAATAGCCTCATTTTTGATAGTAGTTAATTAATAGATTATCAGAAGGACTTCTGCTATAAACTCTCTAATTTATAACCTGAAACATGGCTACTCCTACAGCTTTATTTTTCTCACAAAGGCAGGGTAAACTCCCTTTAGTTGCATGGGGTTGGGGTGGAGTCAGAATCAAGAAGGACTATCTGCATAGAACCTTGAATAGAGCTATGATAAGTAAATTACAGCAGGTCCTTGGAAAAAAGGAAGCTTGGCTCATGATAGTGTTCCTTTGTTAATTTGATTTAACTTCCAGGAAAATACAATGAAGTCCTCTTGGTAATCTAATAGTAGGTAAGTCAATGATAATCTCATACCCAGTCAGAATACCTTTAACTTCCTTCTTTCACTACTTAGCTCTATGACCATTTAGGCTTATGGGATCTAATTTGAAAACTCCTCATTTTATTTTTAAACATATTTTATTATTTATTTATTTAAACATTTTTTTAAAAAGATTTTATTTATTAGAGAAAGCATGCACACAGGAGAGTGAGAGAGAGAGAGCAAGAGCAGGGGGAGAAAGAAGCAGACTCTATGCTGAGCAGAGAGCTCAACATGGGGTTTCATCCCAGGACCCTGGGATCATGACCTGAGCCAAAGGCAGATGCTTCACTGACTGAGCCACCCAGGTGCCCTGAAAACTGCTTATTTTAGAATACACTTTCACAGATCTTCAGCAGCTCTAAAAAAATTCTGATTTATGGTTAAGTTTTTCATAGACTTTTCTCTATAAGAAGTGTAATGAATACAAAATGGCTCTGGGATAATGTAAATTATTTTTCAAAAGCTACAACTACCTTGTACCAATTTAACCAATTTTGAAATTTTTTTCCAATTAGGTAATATGTTTATATGGTTCAAAAGGACATACAGTCAAATATGGCAACTTGCTTTGTTTTCTCTGTTCACATGGATTGGTTGATTTTTTTGTTTTTTATTATCACAAAGTTCTTGTTTTTCCCTTAAGATTTTATTTATTTATTGTAAGGAGGGGCGCGGGGAAAGCATGAGTTGGGGAGTGGCAGGCTGAGGGAGAAGCAGGCTGAGGGAGCAGACTTCCTGCTGAGCAAGGAGCTGGATGTGGGACTTGATTCTATACCCTGGGATCATGATCATGACCTGGGCTGAAGGTAGAAGCTTAACTGACTGAGCCACCCAGGCATCCTTATTATCCTGATGTTCTTGCTGAAGGATTATACTCTTTATCAATTCACTTAATTGAAAGAAGATGCTATAGAAATAGAGATTCCCTTTTTTTTTTAAGATTTTATTTATTTATTTGACAGAGAGAGATCACAAGTAGGCAGAGAGGCAAGCAGAGAGAGAGGGGGAAGCAAGCTCCCTGCTGAGCAGAGAGCCCAATGTGGGGCTCGATCCCAGGACCCTGGGATCATGACCTGAGCCAAAAGCAGAGGCTTTAACCCACCGAGCCACCCAGGCGCCCCTAGAGATTCCCTTTTTAATAAGAATGGCAACATATCCTAAAGGAGAAACACTGATAGGACAAATTAGTAGGCAAAATAGTTAAAGATTTTGTTGTTCTAGTAATTGGGATTTGTAGGTGTTTGTCAACTAATGGAGTTTAATTTTCTCTCATTTCTATTCACTCGACCAGACACATTGCACTATTAATGGTCATGATTTATATAGGTCGATAACACTTTTTTTTAAATAGCTGATACTCCAATGACTATTGAAGTTCTCTATTCTTTCCACAGAACATGTCCTTTGCCACCTGATCACTCAGATGACGAAAAAGAATAGAACTTTCTTAATTCATCCTTGACTAATGTCTCCTGTTTATTATTCTAGGATGTAAATGCACAAATGTATTTGTTCCAATTAGCTTTGTTGAATAGGCATTTAATTTAAAAAATGAGGCTTATATACAGTTACTCTAAAGCAAATGATTATGATATTGGAGAATTTGTAAGATTAATTACGATTACTTAGCTTAGTATTCAGTAAACTGCAATATTTGGTTTCTTTTACCTGTTGTTATTAAGCTTCTTGTTCTTGCTAAAAATTAATCACTGAGTGGTGTTCTAATTACGAACCTGTGTTTGAGATTGTTTAGCTCTTTGTACTGCTGCCATTTTTATTGGCATTTGATAATTGGAATGGTGCCATATTTTTGTTTCTTTTATTTGCCTTAAGAAGCAGAGTTAGGTTTTTGCACATTAAAAAAATTCAGTATTAATTAAACTGAACCTATACCCTTTTCAAGAAAGAGGGCCAAAGATGCAATGTTGAAAAAATTTGGACGGCTATGTATCTTCTCGGTCAGGGCAATTTGGCCTGAGGGTTTAAACAGTTGATAAAGCTTCTAACAACAACAAAACAGCTAAAATACTAGCATAGAATTAGACAGGAATATTTCATAGACTACACTAAAAGAGAGAAATTTTCCAAGAATATGCATTTGATTCAGTATCATAAAATATTACCCTTTGGGCCTGTAATTTTAAAGTTGGAAATCAATAAAACATGAAATCCAGATATCTGTCTAGAGTCCTTAGAGCTACCATTATACATTTTAAGATAACCAGGGGTATAATCGAAGGAGAGGATATAATATTATATCCTTGGATATATAACTTAGTAACTGATATTCTTACTTTCTCATCACATTTTTTGCTCCCTGACCTCCTGTTGTCAAAATTAACCATGTTTTAACAAGTATGTTTTGCTGAACTTTGTTTTTAATAAATGAATACTTATTTTCACAATAGACTGTCTATTTGTGTGCTTCCTGAGATTATGTCCTACTATTTTTATTTTTTTCTTACAAATACAAATCAGTGAAAAAAATACAAATCAGTGCATTAATCTGATTTTATCAGTTTTTAAACTAAGTTCTGATGATTGTAGATTATATTTTTTGCTTTGTCTTTTAGAGATGGATTTTTTTTTTAAGATTCTATTTATTCATTTGACAGAGACAGACAGCAAGGGAGAGAACACAAGCAAGGGGAGTTGGAGAGAGAGAAGCAGGCCCCCTGCTGATGCAGAATGAGCCCGAACACAGGACTCATTCCCAGGACCCTGGGGTCCTGATCTGAGTGGAAGGCAGAACTACTGAGCCACCCAGGTGCCCCTTGGGTATTAAACAGAATGTTACTGAATTGAGAGCCCAGTTTTTATCCTAAGTACTTCCTTAATAATTAGGCTTTGTATCAAGGAGTAGCTCAACGAACTCTATTAAAGTGTTTTTTTTTTTTTAAGATTTTATTTATTTATTTGACAGACAGAGATCACAAGTAGATGGAGAGGCAGGCAGAGAGAGAGAGAGAGAGGGAAGCAAGCTCCCTGCTGAGCAGAGAGCCCGATGCGGGACTCGATCCGAGGACCCTGAGATCATGACCTGAGCCGAAGGCAGCAGCTTAACCCACTGAGCCACCCAGGCACCTCTAAAGTGTTTTTTGTTTTTTTTTTTAAAAGGTTTTATTTATTTGACAGAGAGAAAGAGAGCAAGAGAGGGAATACGAGCAGGGGGAGTGGGAGAGGGAGAAGCAGGCTCCCAGCTGAGCGGGGAGCCCGATGTAGGGCTCAATCCCAGGATGCTGGGCTCACAACCCGAGCTGAAGGCATCCACTTAACCAACCAAGCCATCCAGGAATCCTTAAAGTAAAGTTTTGGTGGATCTGAAACCTGATTTGCTATTTTTGCTTGATGGAAAGAGAAACTTTATGGTGACGTGTCCAGTGAAGTCTAAGTATGATATGTAATTGTTTCTAAAAATTTTGACTTAAAGAACCTACAGTCTTTCCAAATAGACAACATATGATGACTCCCTGTTTCTCCTGAACACTGGATCAAAAGTAAAATTTATATATTAAAAAGATAATTAAACTTGTTTCTAATTTTTTACCCTTCACAAAATTAATCTGGTTTTCCTCTTTGAATGGATTATTCAAATTATTAATGCTAATAATAAATATTTAAAAATAACAAGATTAACAATATTAAAAATTTTAAAAATTTTAAATAAAATAGAAAAAATATTAAAATAAATATTAAATTCCTGACCAATGAATAAAACTTTTCTGGAATTTTTGAACATTGTGGGGATCGTATGTATTTTATGTTCACCTAGTTTCACAAAGGAAGAAATATACTATATTTTTATTTTATTTTTTAAAATATTTATTTATTTGAGAGAGATCGAGAGAGAGAACAAGCGTGGGTGGGGAAGGAGAAGCAGACTCCGCTGAGCAGGGATCCCCAAGTGGGCCTCAATCTGAGGACTCGAGGATCATGACCTGAGCTGAAAGCAGAAGCTTAACTCACTGAGTCACCCAGGCACCCTGGAAGAGCAATACTATCATGAAAGTTTTACAGTGTGCTTACTCAAGGAGTTATTTATGACAAATACTTATCATTTTTTAAAAGATTTTTTATTTATTTATTTGACAGAGATCACAAGTAGGCAGAGAAGCAGAGAGAGAGAGAGAGAGAGGAGGAAGCAGGCTCCCTGCTGAGCAGAGAGCCCGATGCGGGGCTTGATCCCCGGAGCCTGGGATCATGACTTGAGCCGAAGGCAGAGGCTTTAACCCACTGAGCCACCCAGGTGCCCCAAATACTTATCATTTTTTTTTAAAGCAGAAAATGAAGCCTAAATTAACTGCACCTTTCCATATGTATATATACGCTGCTTACAGTTTTCACTGTACTTACAATGTGTTGTGGTAATTCACTTTTGGAAAAATTGAAGGTTCAGCTGGACCTTGATCCAACCAACATTGTTATAATGGTTCTTTTTACCTTTGAGGATGGCATACGGGGGTGGGAAAGATTTTCATTGAATCAAAACCTCACTGAACAAGAAGTCATCTTGCCCATCTCAAGCCAATTATAGCTGTTCATTAGGTGAACTATTTTATTAATTGGCAACTCTTAACTGTGAAAAATGTTGGGAATTAAAATTTTGAATTTCTCTAACTGCCCTCCTTCTATTCTTGGTTTTGTCTTTGAAATAACTCATAACAAGTTATTCCTTCCACATTACAACCTTCATGTATTTCAAGATAGCTGTTACATCCTAAGGCTTCTCTTCCTAGGGCTAAACATTCTATAGTTTATTTCACATGTATCCTAAGTGAGTTTCTCTAAGTCCCTTGTGTTAGGAACTGTGGGTTTTGTGTTGTATATTGCTTAGGCATTTAAGTGGCAAATTTGGCTACATGTCTTCCCCAACTGATCCCAAGTATTCACTAACTGATAGACTCAAGTTTTGTTATCGTTTTTTTTATAGATTTTATTTATTTATATGATACAGAGAGAGATCATAAGTAGGCAGAGAGGCAGGCGGGGCGGGGGGGAAGCAGGCTCCCTGCTGAACAGAGAGCCCAATGTGGGGTTCGATCCCAGGACCCTGAGACCATGACCTGAGCCGAAGGTAGAGGCTTAACCCACTGAGCCACGCAGGTGCCCCTAGTTTTATTATCTTTTATATTTGGAGATGCCAATGGAACTCTAAGTGTATCTGAATATTAATTACTTCAGGAATATTTAAATATTATTGAGTAACAGTATTGGGTTTTATTGTTTTAAAAAGTTATTTACTGGGGCGCCTGGGTGGCTCAGTGGGTTAAAGCCTCTGCCTTCGGCTCAGGTCATGATCCCAGGGTCCTGGGATCGAGCCCCGAATGGGGCTCTCTGCTCAGCAGGGAGTCTGCTACCTCCTCTCTCTCTGCCTGCTTCTCTGCCTACTTGTGACCTCTGTCTGTCAAATAAATAAATAAAATCTAAAAATAAATAAATAAAAGTTATTTACTTATTTTTATTTACTTATTTATTTTTTTAAATTTTATTTATTTATTTGACAGGCAGAGATCACAAATAGGCAGAGAGGCAGGCAGAGAGAGAGGCCGAAGCAGGCTCCCCGCTGAGCAGAGAACCTGATGATGCCGGACCAGATCCCAGGACCCTGAGATCATGACCCGAGTCAAAGGCAGGGACTTAACCCACTAAGCCACCCAGGCACCCTATTTACTTGTTTTTAAAGTGATCTCTACATTAATGAGGGGCTCTAACTCATGACCCCGAGATCAAGAGTCACATGTTCTGACTGAGCCAGACAGGTGCCCTAGGTTTTTAAAAAATAAACGTTAGATACCCTGATTTTCTTAAATGACTAAAAGAGACGATTAAAAAAAGTGAAGAAAAAACTTTGAAGAGATTGGCAAAAAGACTGGAGGTCCAGTATTCATTTACAGGATGAAGGGTGCTTACTGTACTGACTTTGAAGGCCATTTGAGATCTAGCCAGGTTCTGAGAGCACTGTCTTAATTATGTTTCATATTAAGAATATGGATTCCTTGGGATGCCTGGGTGGCTCAGTGGGTTAAGCCGCTGCCTTCAGCTCAGGTCATGTTCTCAGAGTCCTGGGATCGAGTCTCACATCGGGCTCTCTGCTCAGCGGGGAGCCTGCTTTCCTCTCTCTCTCTCTGCCTGCCTCTCTGTCTACTTGTGATCTCTCCTCTGTCAAATAAATAAATAAAATCTTAAAAAAAAAAAAAGAAGAATATGGATTCCTCTAGTACTGCTCACAAAATCCTAAAAATGTAGTTAAACCCACATAGCTAGTTTCAGATGTGGATTTTGCTGTACAACTTTGGAGATCTCCAAGCAATGAGTATACTGAAAATGATAGAGTAATAGGGCACCTGGGTGGCTCAATCAGTTAGGCATCTCTTGGTTTCAGCTTGGTCATGATCTCATGGGTTGTGGGATTCAGCCCCATGTCAGACCCCCTGCTGCTTGAAGACTTTTTTTTCTCTCTCTCTGCTCCTCCCCCCCACTCACATGTGCTCTCTCTCTCTCATAAATAAATCTTTTTTAAAAAAGATATTTATTTATTTATTGGAGAGAAAGCAAGCACAAGCAGGAAGAGGGCCAGAGGAAGAGGGAGAAACAGACTGACTGGTGAGCAGGGTGCCTGATCTCAGGACCCTGGAATGACCTGAGCATAAGGCAGACGCTTAATCAACCAAGCCACCTAGATGCCCCTCATAAATAAATAAATCTTTCTTTTAAAAAAGAAAATGATAGAACTGTATGTCATATGACCATTT